ATTTTTTTCCAATGCACTAAGCAAGTCTTCAGTAAAAGAAAACACATTGATTCCAAAGTTGTTTACTACCAACTAAATAGAACCCCTATAGCTTTTCCCATGCAGCCCACATTAGAGCTAAATTAACAGCCCTCATATGTATCCACTCTACTAGTACCAGACAAAAGTGCTTACACCATTAGGAATGTAAGTTGCCTCAGTCTAAATCTTGATACAGAAGATTGTCTTTCTCATTTAACTGCCTAGCTATCAAAAGTTGTAATATCAGACATAGGCAAGAAAAAAGAAATGCACTGAAAGGTCATAAATAATTGCTGCATTTTAATTCAGTGGTGATGTATTAGCTTTAAAGGAAAGGGATAGGCGCCTGGATGGTTAGACGTGCAAAAAGGAGAGAGCTTCAGGAAGGTGAACAGTTTTGATAATTGGTATGATCTTTGTTCATCATAATCTTGGCTCTGCTTTTGCAAACCTCTCCTGTGAATCTATGAGAGGTGAAGCTTTGTAGTAAGAAACGCTGTTGGCTCCTTTGGACAATGATGCTGGAATAAAAGCAATGGAATTTTATTTCTCATAACCTCCTGGATCTGACATTCTCCTAACCAAAGTCATCTTCAATGTTCTGACCCTAGACACTTCCAGTGGATGCTTAGTTCTTCCTGTACACCAAGTAAGACTCTAAGAACCGCTGCCTCCTCCCTCCCACACCCCACCCCCACTGCAGCTCCATTAGGGAGGTTTCTAGCATCATTTAAAACAAACAGAGGAGAATGCCTGACAAAGGAGACCCAGAGTCCTGGATACCAAATTACCATCATATCAGACAAGCTGTGTCAAGAACTTAGTACCCAGACAATTGCAAATATTCTAGAAAGCAGGGAACTTTGATGGAGTCTGTTTATTTAAAACACGCACACTTTTTAATGTAAAACTTGAGTGAAAAAATTAAACTCACAGTTATCATTCACTGAACATTAATACATACCAAGTACTGTACCAAGAGGTTTAGATTAATATTTGATTTAATCAGTCCAACCCCTCCATTTACAGATGAGAACCCTAAGGCTTAGAGAGGCTATACTACTTCCTCAAGGATGGATAAGTAGACAGAGCTAGAATCTGAACCAAAATCTAGTGTCAATATTAATTCCATACTCTCTATAGCTCTCAGCTATGCCACACAGCCAGCTGCATTGTAAGTCAACTGTTCTGCTAAATTAACATTATTGTTAGACCAACAATAAACTCCACAGGATGAAAGATTCTTCCATAATTTTAACAAGTATCGCACATTTGGCTTCTCCTCAATGATTTTTATTAATCATTAGCGCGAACTTTTTTTAAAACTCATTTATCCTTTTCTGTTTCACTATCATATACTACAATTTTTAGTCTGGATTTCACTTTCTTTCCATCTGGAAGTTGCTTGTTTCTAAGGTCACAAAAGCTGCACCTGGTAAGCCAAGCCCATAACAATAAGCAACATAAAGTTATTGGGTATTTGCTATTCATGGCAGATTGAATTCATGTTATTTGAGTGACAAATAAATGTGCATATATCCAGGCTATAAATATTTATTCTGATGTTCCCTTAGATTACACATATGCTTTTTTTCTTTTGGTTTCAAAGTAGGACGTATAGAAGAATTTCTAGTAATCCCCATGGTCTTAAACCAGAGGCTCTGGTTGCACTTTCTAAAGCATCTATTAAGTTTATGAATCTATATATTATACATCAATTTTGAAATATCCCTTTGGCATATGAAGTCTGTCTAGAAAAACCCAGCCATTATTAATATAAGGAGAAGGATTTGCATGACATCAATGTAACCTGGCAGCCAAGGAGAAAGGACTGGAGTGCACATGTATAAACAATGACAAATTCACTGTGCTCATCAATGGAGGCTGTAGAGTGAGCATGTGTACTGTGTGGCCACCGCATTCAAAATGACTGAGCTAGTAGAGCAACAAATCTGCATCAATTTTTGCATTAAGCTTGAGCATTCCTCTGTATAAACTATTCAGATGATTCAGAAAGCCACAACTATGGGCAACTGGTGATTGGCAGCTTCATCATGACAATGCACCCGCTCATGCACCATATGTCTGCAGAGTTTTTTTGGCCAAACATCAAATCACCCAGGTGACTCAGACCCTCTACCACTCAGATTTTGTGCCCTGCAACTTCTGGTTTTTCCCAACTTTGAAAGGGAAGAGGTTTCAGACCATCAATGAGATTCAGGGAAATATGATAGGTCAGTTGATGGCTATTGGAGAATTGTGCGAGGTCCCAAGGTGCCTACTTTGAAAGGGACTGGGACATCATTGTCCTGTGTACCATGTTTCTTGTATCTTCTTCAATACGTGTCTCTATTTTTCGTATTACATGACTGAATACCTTCTAGACAGACTTCATATATTACATATACAACTGCTTATCTAAAAGGAGAATCAATGAACTAAAATAGTACACACCAACTTTGGGTTTGATTTTAAACCAATGGCTTGGCAGTTTTCAGACCCACTTGCATTGTTCAGCTCTAATTTCCATCGATACAGACACACTGCAATTCCTCAAGAAATGCTCACATACTTCCGTGCCACTGATATGGCCCAATGGAACCAGAGGCTAAAGGTTTCTATTCCTCCTCACAACTCACCAATATGTGGAGTGCCAGTGTAAACTGATTGATTTTTTATGATAAATAATCCAAATTCTTTGGTGGTTCAAATGTCTCCATTCAAGTATCCATTTTAAGAAATAAAATTCAGCCCTGGCTGGCATAGCTCAGTGGATTGAGCGCAGGCTGCTAACCAAAGTATCACAGGTTCAATTCCTAGCCAGGGCACATGCCAGGGTTGCAGGCCACAACCCCCAGCAACCGCACATTGATGTTTCTCTCCCTCTCTCTCTCTCTCTCTCCCACCTTCCCTCTCTAAAAATAAATAAATCTTTTAAAAAAGAAAAAAAGCAATAAAATTCAAACTCATTAAACTTCTTTCCTATGTTGAGGCAACATTAATTGGTCAGCTTTCAAAAATAACAGCCATATGATGATGTGAGGCTATCCACAAAAATTTTAAACCTGCTCCTTTGAAAATTTGACCTGTAACTTATTATAGCTTGTAGGCATTCTCTGATTGGCTTTATCTATAGGAACACTAGTTGGAATTTTCAAAGAATGTAGTCCAGCTACTTAGAACTTTCCTGTAAACCAACAGGAAGTATACTATGAGGTTAAGAATGCAGTTGTATTAATCTCTTTAGTTTAAAATTGTTTTTCTTAATTGTATGACCTTCCACAGGTTACATAAAAACACTTCACATAAATTTCTTCCTATGTAAAATGGGAACATTAATAATACCAAACTTCTAAGAATGTTATGAATATCAACTAACAATATAAGGGTGGCTATCCAAAAAAACTGTGTCCCCTCCTTGCATGGTGTTGTTCATGGGAAGCAGCTTCCCACACAGGAACTACATTCCCTAGTACCTTTGCATCCAGGGGTGTTATGTAACTACTCACCAGTGGTATGTGTACAAAATTGGCACACATCTCCTCCAGGCTAGGACTGTTAAGCACCAGTGTGCCTCGTCCGCAGCTTCCATTTGCTGGAAGCAAAGAAGAACAGTGTCCTGGGGGAGAGTGGACATCTGAAAGAACTTAGCTCACAGAGTTACTATGAGAAGGAAAGCCACCTATCAAGCAGGAATACTCATGAGTTCAGAAAAACATGTTTATTATGAGAAGCCACTGAAATCTCCTCCAGGCTAGGACTGTTAAGCACCAGTGTGCCTCATCCACAGCTTCCATTTGCTGGAAGCAAAGAAGAACAGTGTCCTGGGGGAGAGTGGACATCTGAAAGAACTTAGCTCACAGAGTTACTATGAGAAGGAAAGCCACCTATCAAGCAGGAATACTCATGAGTTCAGAAAAACATGTTTATTATGAGAAGCCACTGAAATCTGAGGCTTTATTTGTTATAGCAGCCAATGTTACCCTAACTAATTCAATATACAGAATGCCCAGCCTCGAATGTATTATTGTCCAGAATTTGTGCATCCCTTTTACAACAATCTAAACATTAAGATCAGATCTAGGATGTAAAATTTCCAAAAGACTCCAACTTTGATTCACATTACAGTTTGACCATCTTCATCAAACATTTCCTAAGTTCTCACAATATTCTAGGCACATTTCTGGGTTCTGAGTATATAATGATGACAAAGACAACCACACTCCCCCCTTTATGGAGTTTTCATTCTAGTTTGGCAAGAAGATATGAGGATGTCAATACTATGTAAAGAAACAACTAAGATGGCTTCAGATAGATCATGATAGAGAATGGCTTGCGGGTGGGAAGGGCAATTTTAGATAGGAGTTTTAGAGAAGTTTTTCTGAAAATGAAAAGCAATGGTAATAGCTAACTTAGTGCAGTGTACTCACACTGTGTCAACTTAGCTGAGCTGGAACCTCTGTTTCCCAGAATTCCCTTCCTTGCATGGTGCCAGGTTAACATGAGACACAAGGGACACTTCACACAGATTTGGAAGGCCATATTGTCTTTGTGTTCACAAGGGAAGTGCAGGACATCGAGCAGGGTGGCCACTCCCACACATTGCTTATCTGCTGTTTTACACTGTTTCCATGGAGCACTAATCTCACATCCTGCTCCTTCTGCTACCACAGGACACACACATCATTGCAATGGGAGGATTAAAGGCATGGAGATGGGTTCCAGCTCATCCTTGTGTGTTCTCCTTTGTCCTTGCTTTCCCCGATTTTCAGCCATCTTTCCTTCTTGATTTTCTTTTCTGATTACTTCAAGGCCAACATCAGATACAGAAGCAGTAGCCATTCAGAAACTGTATTAACTCAGTGCTCTTTGATAAATCCCATATTCTTATTATTTATCTTAACTTTATTTTTATTGTTGACACTATTACAGATGTTCCCACTACCACCCTCCCCCGTTATTTCTAAAATTGTATTTCTATCGCTTCTCGGCCTTTTGGCTAAGATCAAGTGTAGTATCTCTTCTTATCAGTTTAAAATTGTATTTCTTTGATCAATCCTTTCACGCATGGTACACACTGTTTATGAAAAATGCATACAACTAAAGGTTTTCTAAGATGATCTCATTTAATACTCATGGCAACTATGAAGCATGTACTATTATTACCCTCATTTGAAATAAAGAAACTGAGTTCACCAAGACCAAGTGAGCCATCCCAAGTCACACTTCCAGTGAGTGATGAAGCTGGAACTCAAACCCTGAGAACGTGATAAGAGAGTCCAAAAATGCTATGCTGCCACCTTCCGTCACGCTCCCTCAGGCTGTTCTGCAAGGTTTAGGAGTTTGCTAAGTGCTCTTTTCATCAGGATTTAGCTCAAAAGAAGTCTTTGGGCTCATAATTAAGAACATGCAACTGATCAGAAAATAGAATTTTTGAGATGGAAAGAAATTTAAAAATCACTGAGTCCAATTATATACAGAAGAAAATAAATCTCAGAGAAGAGATTGTGCAAGTTAAGCCAAGTCCCTTGATGGGGAGTTTCTGCCTCTATTCTGTGGCCTTCTGCCACACTCCAAATGTGAGTAAGCTCAGGTTCACCTTTGTCAGACATTCAGGGACCTGGGACATACTACACAGCATCTCGTGAGCCAGATTAGGACGCTAGATTGGTTTGTGTGTGAATGACTCTCTCTCTGGTATCCTTTGGCCCATGGTAAAAATAACTCTATTTTTTTATTTGTGTACTGTAATTCAAGTCTCTCCCAACACTTCAGCTGGAAGTACTATTAGGAAAATCCCTTCCAATGACTCTGCTAATAGTTTCCAGCAAATTTAAACCTGGAGTGACATTTGAATGAATTTTTCTGCAGCGGCTTCTGCAGGAATCAATAAGTCATTCTGATTCATTCTTAGTTTCTAGAGGAAAGTATTTATTTTCTAAGATGAGACTGAATAGAAATGGAAATCATTTGTATGGGATGAAGCAAAGCTTGCTGATTAAGATTACCTCTTTTTCCTGTATTACTCCTAAAGGATTAAGCCATGGGAATTTTGGAACTTAAAGCCACACATTTCTTCCCAGGATTACTCCAAAATCTTAGAGAAGCACTAAATATCCCCAGTGGAGTTCTAATAATTTGCACTATTTTGAAGTTAAAATTTTTGTCTGGAAAAAATGTTTTGAAAACCAGACCATGCTTTATCTGTTAGTATAAAAATACATGAAAATGTACCCAGAAAAAAATCAATTCTCTTATATCTTTCAGTGAAAATAAATAACAAAAGTATAAGTCATTATTTTAAAAGCAATAATGGAAGCTAAATGGTAATCAAAATCTGCAATTTTTTAAATAATGAACAATTCCTTATAACAGTGAAAGTATTTACAAAAGTAAAAATTCTGCTGAGGAATTTAGATTAAGAACAAAACCCAGAAGTTCAGAGGTCCATGTGATTCTATAACCATTCACTTTTACCTTCTAGAGACCACAGTGCAATTGGAACAAATTAGTGTCTGTCAGTTTGGAAAACACAGACACCAAAACTCCAGAATATCTCACCAGGAATTTTTAAATCTAACTGGAAATTAACTCTTATAGTACTGAAATGAAATACAATTTTACTTCCTTTGACAGAGTTATTTTAAAAATGTAAAACTTGAGGCTCCTAGGAGTCAGTTCTAAAACCTGTCTGACTATCCTTAGAGATTAATAATTCTGTACCCAATTCCAATGTGAGGGTTCAATTGGAACCCACCCCAGACCACCAAGCATTTCTCCAATGCCAGCTGGGCATCCTGCAATTCAACTCCATTCTGACACTATGTACCCAGAGACAACATCAGAATTCACAGGATAAGTGCACAGTGCCACAAGTCTGCCCCCACTTCAGATGGCAATTACAAACCCAGGTTGTGGCCTGTGCTTCTGACCAGCTATATAAACCAGAGATTCCCACCACCCCTTTCTTGGGTTCAATTAATTTGCTAGAGAAGCTCACAGAACTTGGGGCACTAGTTTATTCACAATATTACCAGTTTACCATAAAGGATATTAAAGGATAAAAATCAACAGCCAGGCCCTGGTTGGCTGGCTTAGTTGGTTAGAGCATTGTCCTGATACACCAAGGTTTCAGGTTCAATCCCCAGCTGAGGCACATACAAGAATCAGCCAATGAATCCATAAACAGAGTGGAAAAACAAATTGATCTCTTTCTCTCTCTCTCTCTGTCTCTCTCTATCTCATCCTTCCTCTCTCTCTAAAAATCAATCAATAAAATAAAAAAAATCAACAGCCAGATGAAAAGGTACATAGGGCAAAGTACAGGGAAAGGGGCATTGGAAGTTCATGCCCTCTCCAGAGTGCATCACTTTCCTCAAACCTCCACACATTCAACCACCTGGAGGTTCTCTATACCCTATGCTTTTGGAGTTCTATGGAGGCTTCATGACATAGGCATGATGATTAAACCATCGGTCATTGGTAACCGAACTTAATCTACAGCTCCTCTCTGCTCCCCCATGTCTGGGGATGGGACTAAAAATTCCAGCCCTCAAATTACATGGTTGGGTCTCCTGGCAAATAGTCCCCTTTCTTAAATGCTTTCCAAAAGTCACCTCATTAACATAAGAAAAGACACCTTTACTGCTCTCACACTTTGGAGATCTCTAGGGTTTTAGAAGCTCTGTGCTAGAAACAGGAACAAAGACAAAAAAAAAAATATATATATATATATATATATATATATATATATGTTACATAAATCACAATATCACAGGAATAGACCATCTTCAAGTCAAAGTTGACTTCTGCCACTTGGGATATCAAGAATCGTCCCAGCTGGTGTGGCTCAGTGAACTGAGTGTCGGCCTGTGAACCCAAAGGTGGCCAATTCGATTCCCAGTCAGGGTGCATGTCTGGGTTTCGGGTCAGGTCCCTACTTGGGGGTATGAGAGAGGCAACCAACTGATGTATCTTCTCACAAACTTTGATGTTTCTCTCCCTCTCTTTCTCCCTCCATTCCCCTCTCTCTAATAATAAATAAATAAAATCTTTTTAAAAAAAGAAGAAGAATATGATCCACAAAGCCCAAAGCGCTGGCCCAGAGAACCTTATAGATAGTGGGATAGGAACACAGGTTCCTGGGACACAGAAGGAAAGAATCTTCACTCAGAGATTCTGCCAGGTGTAGGCTTTTAGGGGAAGAACAGAATACATAATATCTCTTGGTTCCTGAAACTGTAAAGGGAATTGAGGAACCTGCAATGCCTGAGAAGGGGTGCAGATACCGAAAGACTCTCAACATAAGCTCTGGTCTCTTTTACCATGTAACACAGGCCAAGCTCTGCAGCAATGTGAACCACTGTGAGTAGGCCAGAGAGATGACAGGATGTGGAGTTCAGACCTATTGACCTGTCCTGATCTCTCCCTGGGGTTCCACCCCCACTCTGGACAAGTTCTGTCACCCAGCTTAGCTATTGGAAGGCTAGGGAAAGCTAAGATAGTAGCAATTCAATATTTTTAGAAATTAGATCGAATATTTATTTAAATATTCTAAGGAAATTATAAAAAACATAATAAGACACCTGTATCCACCAGCCAACACTAATACATTTTAACATCTTGCTGCATTTGCTGCAGTTCTCTTTCTTTCTTTCTTTTAGAGACATAGCTAAAGCCCAGTCACATCCTCCACCTTCCTTGCCTTCTCCCCCTCCATAGCTTACTGCAGTCTGGAAGTTAGTTTGTATCACTCCCATATATGACTTTCAATATTAAGTATGTACAAATTCATTAAAAATTTATCTTATGGGTTTTTATAATTTTTAACTTAGAGAAATGCTATTCTGTAGGATTCCTCAACCTTGGCTTCACTGACATTTTAGGCTGTGTGTTAGTTTCCTGTTACCACTATAACAAATTATCCAATACTTAGTGGTTTGAAACTACACAAATGTATCCTCCTACAGTTCTGGAGGTCAGAAGTTTGAAATGAGTTTTGTGACTAAAATCAAGGTATCATCAGGGCTGGCTTCTTCTGGAGGCTCTAAGAGAGAACTCATTTCCCTGCCTCTTCTAAATTCTAAATGTCCTCATTTAGAGGACACAAGGCTTGCGACCTTGTGTCCCATGGACTCTCCTCCCTCTGCTTCCATCCTCACACTGCCTTCTCCCATCTTTGACCTTCTTATTGCCCTAAGTATTAGGATAACTCAGGATAACCTCCTCATCTTAATCTTCAATGTGATCACATCACACCAGCAAAGTCTCTTTTGCCATAAAACATAGCATTCATAGGTTCTGGATTAGGACCTAGATATCTTTGGGGACCATTATTGAGTCTAACACGGGCCAGATAATTCTTTTTTTGTTGGGGGGGGGGCTCACCTGGACATTAGAGGATGTTTAGCTGTATCCTGACATCTATCCATTAGATGCCAGTAGCACCCCTCAAATTTTGACAATCAAAAATGCATCCAGACAGTGCCAGGTGTCTCTGGAGGGACAAAATGCCCACAGCAGAGAATCACTGCTCTACACACATGGTCTTGTATATTTTACTCTACAATGCATTTGAGAATTATCCATGTCAAAAACACCTAGTACATTAATTTTAACTGCCCCAGGATCTTCTGTTGAATGAATAAAAATGTTTCTCCTATCTTTCCTCTACCATAAACAATGCTTCATCAATAACTTAAACATGTTCTCCTCATAAGCATACACAAAGAGTTTCTCTACGGTAGGGTGACGGTTCTCATTCTTTGACTTGATCAGGATCACTTGGAGAGCTCCTTCAAATGCAGATTGCTGGGTAAGACACCCAGAGTTTCTGATTCTGCAGGTCGGCGGTTCAGGAGCAGGGCCCGAAGTATTGAATTTTTAACTAGTTCCCAGTTGATGCTGAAACTGTTGGAGAACTACTCTGAGAACTACTCTTTGAGAACCAATGCTGGAGAGAGAGAGAGAGAGAGAGATTTTTTTTTTCTCAAACCTACCCTAACATCAGGATTTGGCATTCTAAACTTTTTTGTCTGTTCACTGTAATTTATGACAGACTGTTCTTAAATATTTTTAGCTTAAATTCACCCTAAGTGGAAATATTTTTTCCTGTGGCCTAGATTATAAAAAAAAAAATCTTCCAAAAGGGTTTTCATTTATTTCTTACTG